TGACTTGCCTGACATTACTTGAGACTTGACTTGAGACTTGAGGATAAAGACTTGAGACTTACTTGAGACTTGCAAAACAATGACTTGGTCCCACCTCTGCTCCGCACACACGCACTCGTCTTCAGCCGCACTTGTTCCAAAACTCCACACACCCGGGCAGGTCCCGTGATTTGGTCCAGAAGAGGGATATCTACACACAAAAGTTAACGTTAGTTCCACAGCAAAATACATACAGTGGATTCTTTTGATAATGCAGAGAGCACGAACTCAGGAGGTTCAACGTTCCAGCGGTAAGCTGCTCTGTGCCACTGCCTTAAATAGCAGCTGGGGAAATCAGCCAGATCAACAGCAGGTGGACACAATCACACAGGTGCGTGGGCCAAGAGCGAGAGCTTGTAATGAGCTCCACCCAGGCAGAGAGGACGAGGGACAGACAAAGAAAACAAAAACAAAAAAGAACAACAATAAAACCTGTAGCCAGCGTGAGCCAACCAGAGAGACACGGGGACAATGACAATACCCATTGTGATTATCTGTTTTTGTGAACAGGACAAGTATTCAATTGAGGCAGAAGATCCAAGTATAGCCAGTGTACCATCAAGTGGTACTTTTTTCCTAAATTGGTTTGAAAACCATGTAAAAATCCGGTATCAAAAAGCATTCAAGACTGGGCAGTGCCAAAATAGTTGTGCAAGGAAACCTTCATCAGCGTTACATCTATCACATAGGGGGGATACTGAGTTATAAATCCAGTTAAGTTTGAGTTTAGAAAAATGTGAATGACTTTAAACTTGATTAGTTTGTATCTGGCGTTTATTGAGCCTTTCTGAATGCTGGACAAGCAGTTTAACCATTGGTCCTCAGATAGAGGGACACCGAGGTCTTCAGCTCATGTATTCCTGATTTGATCAGAATCTGCTGGAATTGTAAAGCACTTAACAAACTGGGATATCAGATGTTTAGAGTTTGCTTTCAGAATTGTTTCAAGGTAAGTATGATTTAGTGGTTTCAGTGGAAAGTCTGCAAAGTTTCGTTGAACAAAATTCCTTATTTGAAGATAGCGGAAAAATTGTGATTGAGGTAACTGAAATTTTTGTTGGAGTTGAAAGAAAGAAGCAAATTTGTCATCTATATATAAGTCCTCAATATGTTTCAACCCCTTTTCCTCCCACTCTAAAAACACCCTGTCCATTTTTCCTGGTTTAAACAAATGGTTGTGTTATTGGTGTTATCTTACTGAGAGGTCAGGTAATTTAAGAGATTTCCTGATTTGACTTAATATCTTTAGAGAGTGTTTAACAACAAAATTACAACTGATCCATTTATTAGAGGAACTGGTGTTAGAAAACAATACAGCCGGTAATGAGGTTTCAAATACTATTGCTGACTCTACCTGAAGCCAGAGCGGGAGATTATCATAACGGTGGTCGATAGGCCGACCCCACTGCCAGTGTAATAGAGCTCTTGAGTTTGCAGCCCAGTAATAGTGTCTAAACACAGGGAGACCCAACCCCCCCACTGGAAGTACTTTTTTGAAGATGAGCTTGGATAATCATTTATTTATATAGCACTTTAAAAACACACTTGGTAGACCAAAGTGCTGTACAATACAAATATAAATATAGTAATAAAATAGCAAAAACCACACATAGCAATAAAATTAATAAAAAAAAAAATGTCAGTCACCCACAGAGTTAAAAGCCAGGGAATAAACATAGGTTTTTAATCCGGACTTAAAAACTGGCACTGATGTAGCTTGTCTAATATGGAGAGGAAGGTTATTCCAAAGCATTGGAGCCACAACAGAGAACGCTCAGTCTCCTCTAAGTTTTAGCCGTGACTTTGGTCCTGAAAGCAACATTTGGTCAGCTGACCGAAGCGAACAAATGGGGACATGGGGCTTCAACAAATCAGACAAATAAACAGGTGCCAGACCGTTTAGAGATTTAAAAAACAATAAAAGAACTTTAAAACGGATCCTAAATTCAATTGGAAGCCAATGTAGAGAGGCCAAAACCGGAGTGATGTGGTCGAATTTCCTTCTGTCAGTTAAAAATCGTGCCGCGGCATTTTTACTAGTTGCAAGCGTGACAAAGTGCCCTGCCCAACTCCTATTAAAAGAGAATTGCAATAATCGAAACGTGAAGTAATAAAGACGTTAATAACACTTTCCAAGTCACGCTTGGAAAGAAAGGGCTTAACCTTCGATAAACGTCTGAGGTGATAGAATGCTGATTTCACCACCCTGTTTACGTGACCATCAAAGGTAAGGGCAGAATCAATTTTTACTCTGAGATTTGTGATCGAACTCTTTAAATGGGAAGTCAAAGCGGCAAGATCAGCATCTGGAGCCTCAGAAAAACCATTTGGGCCAAATAAGATCGCTTCCGTCTTACGATAATTAAAATTTAAAATGTTTTTTGCAAGCCATGCTTTAATATCACTAAGGCAGTCAAGCAGAGATTGACTTGGGAGACTATCAGAATGACTAAAAGGTAAATAAAGCTGGCAGTCATCTGTATATAGATGGAATGAAACTTTATGTTTTCGGAATATCGCACCAAGAGGCAAAACGTGCAGTGAAAGCAATAATGGCCCAAGAATAGATCCCTGTGGTACACTCCAAAGCAGAGGAGTCATGTCCAACAAGACCAGCACTGCATATTTACCACGGTCTGTCGTTATCAGAATGTCATTCATAACTTTTACGAGGGCTGTCTCCGTACTGTGAAATGGCTTAAAGCCGGACTGAAAGATTTCTGACAATTGAGAGTCATTCAAATAGTCCATCCACTGAGTATAAACAATTCTTTCCAGAATCTTACTAAGAAAGGCAAGTTTAGAGATGGGTCTAAAATTTAACATGACTGAACTGTCTAAGCCTGGTTTCTGACTCCATCATTACATCGGGGACGATCCACATCTGCACGGCACGGCTTAAGTGTTGTTTTGTCACAGCTGCGGCGGCAGTCGTGTGGGGTTGAAGGGATAAGGACCCAATCGCAGGCACTGACGATGCAATGAGTGAGCTTAATTTACATGAGGTGATAATACAGACAGAGCAGAGATGGGACAGATAGGAACTAAGAACAAACCTAAACTGGGACAATCTAACCACCAAATCTGAAACCATAACTCAAAGGAAAACATAAAGGGTGGAACACAGGATGACGCGTGGAGGTAACACAGATGCACCAGTAACAAGCAGTAAAAAACACAGGGCTTACATACACACAGGAGCAATCAGGGAATGGGAGACAGGAAGGAAACACAGCTGGGAAAAATCAGAGCTGTCGAGACAAGGGGAAGCAAAACCAGGCACACTACACATGCACTCAGAAAAATTAGGGTTCTTAAATGGTTCTTCTGATGTCTCTATGGTTCTTTAAAGAACCATCATACGTCAAAGAACCTTTTTATTTTGAAGATGGTTCTTCAGCTATTACAAATGGTTCTTTAAAGAACAAAAGGTTCTTCATCCTTAGCTATCTGAGTTTGTTGGTGTAAAATGGCATAAATAATATTCACTTTAATGAGGGTGTGAATTATACTGTGTGTTTTGTTTGTGTGCGCGTGCGGGGGGTGGGGGCAGATGGTGGGATACTGAATATTCAAATTAAAGTTAGAAACACTTGCTTAAAAATATTCTGGTGGCAGGGGTGGGGGCCAAAGCCTAAAGACCCCCAGCACCCACCCTGCAAACCCACTGATCACAAATAATGTGGTAACAGAATATAGAATTTATTATTAAGCCGTTTATGAATATGGTGAATTTATAAATTAACAATCTAAACAATCCATTCGGGGGATATTAGACAGATTCAGATACAGATCTATATCAGATCTCTCTCTCGCGCGCGCTCTCTCTCTCTCTCTCTCTACATATATATATATATATACAACATATATCATAATGATAATACTAGTTACTGTGAACTTTACAAGCTACCCAGCAGTATGTAAAGTCAAATTATAAAATAATATAAGTAAATAATAATTGCACATGTGATCTGAGTACTTGTTTATCACTGCGCAATTTATTATTATATGTGCCAAGCCAAATAAATGACAGGGAGAGAGAGAGACATGGAGAGTGAGAGAGACGTTAGAACACGTAGTACAACCAAAGGGAGGGGGGGGCAACTGTAGGGATGCGCATGCGCACACAGATCGCGCGAGCCTTGAACTTTCTAACGGAAAGAAAACTTTCTCTCGGACGTTGCCAGTGGATAACAGTCTTCAGTACCTGCTGGTCTTTAAAGGATTCTGGATTCCTGGACTGTTGGAAAAGGTAAAACATTTTCATAAAACCTTTTTATTGTTTTGTTTTTGTTACTCGTCATTGTAGCTTGCTGTTAATGTTGTGCTAACAGTAATGGTTAGATACGTTAGCCTTTGACGTTGACGCAGTTTAGTATCTGGTATAAAGAACTGTTTTCCTAACAAAACCACTGTTACAATTAAGTGAAGGTGCTCCCAAATAATTTGGCCTGTAAAATATGTGGCTATATTGCGTGCTGCGTACATAAACTAATGTCAGCTAGACAGATATTAAAATCAATAATATGGTTAAAGTCACCAAAATGGCGCCTGAAGCCTGTTGTGTGAGCTCTGTGTCTAGTCTAGAAACTCAGAAATTCAGTAGCCTGTACTTTGAATTGTGGAGTAGCTGTATAAAATACAGCAATGCTTAAGTGTTTTGAATAAATAGAAATGTGACACATGAGAAGTTGTGTCTTTGACTGTTACTGTAGAACTTATTTTCAGAGTAGTTGACAAATTATGCTCCAGTCATTTGATGTTACCAAGATAATGTCCGTTTTTATTATAGTTAAAAAAAAATTTATGTACATTTCATTTATCCAACATCATATATTAGGCAAAAAAGAGGTCATTATACTAACAAGACCAGATAATCCAAAGCATAAAATTATCAATATTTATCTGAAGAAGGCTTAAAAGTTAGACCAAACGGTGGTATAGTGGTTAGCGCTGCTGCCTCACAGCTAGAAAGACTCTGTTCAATTCCCGGGGTCAACCGGGTGCCTTTTTGTGTGGAGTTTGCATGTTCTCCCTGTTTCTGTGTGGGTTTCCACCCACAATCCAAACATACATATCTGAATGACGACCCTGCCATGGACTGGCAACCTGTCCAGGGTCTACCCCGCCTAAAAAAAACAGCTGGGATAGGCTCCAGCACCCCTCCGATCCTTATGATGATAAAGCGGCTTGGAAAATGAATGAACAAAAAATAAATAAATA